TATAAACCTAATAGATGATGACTTTAACATAAACGAATTATAAAGTTATAAAGTGCTCTTTTAGTTCCACCCTTACATCCAAACTAAGATGTCCCATAAGCCAACTGAATGGCTTGTGCGGGTTAGGGGTAGGAACGGACCGACGGCTTAAAGTCCCCTCCGAATTTAACTACTAACACTATTGACGCCGAAACAATACAAAAAGCAACGAACATAGACTCTGAATTGTCAAAAATAAAGGAAAAAAAATTAAATGGACAGATATACGATCCAGAAATTTCATTACATATAGGAATAATTTTTCGAGGCCAAAGGGTATATATACCAGCAAGTTTACAACACGAAATTTTAAAAGAATTACATGATACACACATTGGGATGGAGAAAATGAAACTTTTAGCACGAAGACATTGCTATTGGTTTGGAATAGACAAAGATATAGAAACAACTGTAAAAGGCTGTGAAGAATGCAGCAAGATCAAAAATAACCAAACAAAAGCACCACTACACAATTGGAAAACACCTACAGAAAATTGGCAACGTGTCCACATGGATTATGCAGGACCGTTTATAGGGAAACATTTTTTTATTGTAGTCGACGCAAAATCAAAATGGCCTGAATGTACAGTTCAAAAGTCTGCGCCAACCACCCAATCGACTATTGAGCAATTGAGAAACATATTGTAGCGAGTACCGCTCTGGATATCGGAGTGATGACTCATCGCCGGTTAGTCATCGCCGGTGAGTCATCGCCGGTGACTCAGCGCTCGAATAATCGAGAGTGTGGAGCTCGCTGGAATGTTCCAGAAGACCTTGGCGCTGAATAAATAAGAAACGGAGCAGCACACGGCAGTCAGTTAAGATTTGGTACTCGCGGCGAAATAAATAAATATAAGTGCAAATAAATAGACTCTTGAACAATAGTGATATATAAATAATTAGTAGTTAAGTGTTTAGTTAGTTTTATAGTGTTTTAAGTGTAGTTAAGTTATTAAATAAATAGTTTAGTTCGTTAATTAACCAGTGCGTGTTTTAATTCACACTACGAACAGTTAAAAACGTTACAATATTTAGTAGATACGGATTACCAGAAATACTGGTGAGTGATAACGCAACTATTTTTAAATCCAGCGAATTTATAGAATTTTGCAAACGAAATGGTATACGACAAAGATTCTGCGCACCAGGTCACCCAACAACAAATGGGCAAGCAGAAAGATACGTTCAAACAATAAAAAACAAACTGAAATGTGCACCAGAAATCCATAAGAACACACAACAAAAACTTGACGAAATACTATTCAGATATAGAGCAACACCACTTGCGGATGGAGAGACAACTGCAGAAAAACTATTTGGAAAAAACTTACGAACCAAATTAGACTTATGGAAACCGGAAAAATATGTAAAAAACAGAAGTGAACAACCTAAATTTGAAAAATATTATAACCTAGGTGAAAGAATACTGTCAAGAAACTACGCAAATTCAACGAAATGGAAATTAGGAACAGTCGTACAAAGGCTGGGAAGAGTTCACTATCTTATAGAGCTAGATGATGGATATGTTATAAAAAGAAATTATAACCAATTACGAGCTTGCGAAGGGGAAAGAAAAAGTAACAACGACAAAGAAAATTCTAATATAGAGAAACATGTCACATTACGTATGGAACCAAAATTGATGGGAGAAAATAGCCAGAAAGAAAAAGTGGAAGAATCACGGGAAACACGTCCTGAAATTGAGAAAATTAAAAAGGACATACAGGAAGAAAGCATAATGGAGGAGCCAAAAGAAGTAAATACCCCCACGCAAACAGCTCCACTCTGAAGATCCGAACGGCAACGCCGCCCAGTGGAAAGATTAAATTTGTAATAGCGTTTAAATTCGAAGGGGAAGACTGTAATATACGCGCCATCTACCAACGCGTATTTGGAGTAAATAAGGAATACCAACTGTTAGTTTTTAGTATATACAGATTGTACATAACCTATAACAAGAATACACGTTTTCATTTTTTAAATCAAGACTTTTATTGCAAAGTACACAATAGAAACACAACATGTTAGTAACCGCAGTCTTAAAGTTAAAATTGTCTTTGGAGTCATTTAAGCGTTCTGTGTACCCTTTAACGGCCTGTCTGTAGTGGCTAGCTTTTCGTTACTATTGTTGTGTCTGAGTTGGCTGCCCGCCGTAACTTTATCTTTGGTTGTGCCATGGGATTTTCCTATGTGTGCGTTAAATTCACCCGCGATAACCAATGTCCCTTTTCTGATGTTTAAGTCGATTGGTTGTTGCTCGCGGTAGGTTGCCGTATTGCGTTTGTCAGATAGTATGTGTGCGGTAATTACGCATAATCGCTTTTTGTAGCAGTGTTTTCCGTGATGGCGTAGAATTTGTCATTTTTATGTCTTTGTCATTTTTTGTGAGGATCGCGACCCCCCTTCTCGTCATTTTATTGTTACCCCCGCTAAGATACCAATTGTATCTTTTTGTGGTGGCGCGACCCGAAGTCATGTATGTTTCTTGTAGCGCTATAATGTCCATGTTATATTGTCTAGTATGTTGTCTATTATGTCCCTTTTTTCAGCCCTTCTGCACCCGCGTACGTTTAGTGTGCCTATTAAATGCTTGTCTACTTGCGTGTTTACCTCTAAATATGTCCTGTCGTTTGATGATTGAGTTATCGTGTATTTTTCGTTTCCGCCTGCTATAGCATGCTATGGTGTTTATGTTTGTGACGAACGTTGTAGGGCTGTAATTAGGCAGTTGCCAGTGGGGGGTATTTTTTTTACTTTTAGTGTAAAGTCTAATGTGTTTACAAAATCCATGAGTTTGATTAGAGTGCTTTTTTTTACTTTGTTTATGTTTTCTTAATTTATGAGTGTTATTTATGTTCTAAGTGTCAAATATTTATTTGGTCTCGATTTTGTTAGATTTGGATTGTTTTGTTGACAGCTATATTGCCCTGCTCAGCTTTGGTGTATGGCCGCGATAGGCTGGTTGGGAAGATTGTTTTTTTGGTTAGTATTGACTTTCTAATGTATTTATTGTTACCGATGTTTATTGTTTTTTTTGTAGGGATTAGGCAATGTGCCTTGTCTTGTTTAATTTGCAAATTGTGTGTTAGGTCATGCAGATGAGTTGAGGATATTTTTTGCAGGTGGCCTATTCCTCCCTTGTTTGACCTCTTTTGTTTGGCCAGTGAAAATCGTCCTGTTGACAGGTGGTGCGACCTCTCGACGCTGACACTTGTCACTTAACTCTTTCTTGTCACTTAACACTTAACTCTTTTGACCGTTTCACTATGTTAGTTTGCACTTATCATTTTACTCTTCCTTATCACTTAGCACTTAACTCATTCTTGACCGTAGAGTAGTCTGTACTCACTGTATTTGTTACACTATAATTGTTTGCACTAAGAGGGATTATTTGTTGGTTATGGTTTTCAAGTTTTACGTTTTTAGCTCTGACTCAGCTAACAAGCGTCCTACTCAGTCAAGTGCTGGGACGAGACTGTGCCTTTGATAAAAAAAAATAAAGTAAATAGTTTAAAATTTTCATTTTCATTTGAAAATCGCCATATGAAGCTGAAAATTAAAATTTGTTCGTGTCCCGCTATGCAATTAATCTTTACTATAGGCTTACTTCCAGTTAGCCCGTAAAGATTAATTTATAATGCTTGAAACGTATATAACTATTAATTTAATAGTATTAAACACGTCCTAAACCTAAAAATTCAGTTTTTTCCTAATAATTATAATAATTAAAAACGTTGTGCTTTTTTTTAAAGGTAAAAAATAGTTTGTAAAAGTCGGGGTCCTCGTAAAGGCGGGATCTAAGTAACTGCTTATTTTGTTTATACGTATATTCCGTCCTAAAAATAATGGGCAATCAATTCACAATGTAGATTGTGATAAACAACATGGCACATCCTAACTTCAAAAAGTCGTTAAAAAAAGCAGTTGTAGAGTTTTCAGCAGAAAAACATTTCATTCTGTTTCTCATGTTGATAACATTACAATAATATTTGACAATTATTAAGTACCTACTTACTTGTCTTTTTTATATTATATAGGTTATATTTCTTTAAAGAAAAATGATACTGCAATGTTGAAAATAACCTATGGCTATGGCTATGGGTGCTATTTACAAAAAAAATAAAACATACCCAGTTAAACATCAAAAATTCACAACTACGTCTATGGATTTCGTAGGCCAATAATTTAGGCATAATTATGGAGGCATGATTTAAGAGATAATTAAGTCACCTTTATTTTTTCCAAAGGCCTTCGTTTTAAAGATAATAGCAAAAACCTAAAATGAATCACCAAATGACGTTTAATATTTGGATTATTAAGCAAAACAGCTACAATTTTGAAAAACATATTTTTAAACTTATTCCAATACTTCAGTCAGTTTTTTGCGTCATTTTTATGTGACCTATGACTCGTTCAGGACAACTGTGCATTAAAGCAATGCAAAATTCTTGTAAATATAATTAACTTTTTAAAATTTTCATTATTAAATACATTTTGGTTGTTAACGGCAATATGTTTCGTAATATATTGTTTTTACTTTAAAATAACTTATTGTTATTTTCATTTCAAAAACACCCATCCATTTTGCCGAACCCTTTATTTATGTTCTTTGCCTATTTCATATCACCAAAACAAATGCAAAATAGGACCTTATAAAAAACCAAAATAATAATATTTTTATAATTATATAAATTACAATTTTTTAATCAACAGACCCAAAATTAACAATGTCAACTTGAGGCAAATTTAACTAATCCAGATACATTAAATTTGGTATAACTCTAATTAAATATCTTGATGGATACAGCCGCTCTGTTGTGGAAATTACAATCGGGCTGGAAAATTACCATGCGTGATTTCAATTTAATTAATAAACAGATTTCATTGTTAAATTAAATTTATTTTTTGTAAGTGGTTGGTAAAAAAAAAGATTTAATAAACTAAATTAAATGCACTTAAAATTACAGAATTCTGGGCTTAAGTAAACTAAGAATATTACTACTAAGGCCCTTTTTACCATTTCCATTCTTGGTGTATGGTGGTTCTTTGTTGGTTTCCAAAAAGAAATCATCTTTTTCCATGGTAGTAATATCACCAACAGCTACAGTAACGTTGTCACATTTGTTGTCTTTAAAAGAAGACCAATCTTTGCATTTTTTTGCCAACATTGTTCCTGGGTTCAAGACGGCCTCCACAAAGTAAGCCCAGGCTCTGCTATGATCACAGAAAACTAAAAAAATTCTTTTAGTTATAAAGTTATAAAATATCATTAAAAAATCATACATGGTTCCGCAAGGCTCTTGAAATCTAAGAGATCGATTCTCTTGCATCCTGGCTGTGAGCTACCGCCATTTGGATAGAAATCAATGGTACCAATAGAAGTGGGGTAACCAAGGGTACCACCATCGCTGTGTACAATATGCACGACTTCGGCATCAGTTGGATTTAATCTTTTGTCTTCTGGTCTTTGTATAAAAAGAGGGCCGGCTGGATCCAAAGCGATAATCCTAGACATTTTTTTACCAATTGCCTTAAATACTCTTTTAGCAATGAATCCTGAAATTTGACCTCCTAGGGAATGACCCACTAAAATTATGTGTTCCAATGGGATTCCATGGTTTTTATGGAGATCAATAATTAAGTCACCGACGTGATTACCTATGAACATAAAATTATTACGTATATGTAAGCGCATTAACTTTGTCAAAGTATAGAAGGATAAAATTTTGTTTACTAATAAAAAATCCTCTTACCAACATCGTAAGTACTGATGGAAGAAACAGTGTAAATAGCATTAGCTGGCTCATTCCAGTCAACTTGTACAATATTATATTCTTCTTTTCTATTTAAGAAAGCATTTTTTAAATCTTCATACCATTGTACTTCTCTGTTATTGGTCCAACCATGGATGAAGAATACAATTTTAGCTTCTTTGTTCCAATGGTCGTCCAATTTTTTCGCATCGACTTGAATGAATTTGGTTGGGTTCTCTTTTTTGAATAAGAAGTATGTTACTTTATCGGCTGAAACGGGTTTGGATGTCACATTTCTAGCTACTTTTGCTGTGTTTTTGTAGATATCAAAGAAATCTCTCTTTAATGTGTCGCTTAAACCTCCATAAACACCTTTAAAGAAACGACAAATAAAAGAACAGTTAGTAATATTATTATATATAATATTATATTATTATTATAATATTATATATATATATATATATAATAATAGTATTATATATATATTATATATATATTACTATTAATACTATTATTATTGAGCAAATTGGGCAAAGATGCCACTGCCACTGCTGGACAAACTATCATTAAAAAAAAATAGTATTCCCTAACTAATTTCATTTACGATTTGTTGACCAACTGGCCTTCAATATCGCCTTATTAACGGCATAAGAAATAAGGCAAGCACCGAAGCCGTTCATAGCTGTCATAAGTGAAGATAGTTTCAGGTCTGTGGAATGTTATAAAATGTATGCTTGTAAAAACTCAAAACACTTTTTAAATTTTAAAACTAAGTACAAATTAATATTAGTTTAAATAACTAAAAGGGTGGTGGTATTAATAAACTTGTGACTTTTTAATGTTCAATGACTATGCCAAAAAACGTGGAGCGCTTTATCAAAATTAATTAAAAGTAGGTATATGCTTCTCAAAGATACGTGACCAAAAAGCACCTCATGCTTTTTGGCATGGTCATTGAACCTTAAGAAGGGACAATTTTAATAATATCACGAAATACTTTAAGTAAATTTTATTATTTTGTAGATCCTTTTCAATGCGTTAAAGCGTGTTTTTAATTTTTTAACAAATATTAATTGTTTAATTTTTAGTCTCACAATTTTTTTAACTATATTTAAAAAAATTAACTTTAGTTACAATTAAATAGTATATTATTATACGAGAGATGAGTATCAAGCAAGTAAATAATGCGCATGATCTTGAGTGTAACACTATACTTGATTTTCAAAAATAAATAAATAAAATCTTACATCTATCAGATGGCCATCTGAATAACCGTACATTCTACCAATTTTAAAAAATCATTATAGTCGCTTTCTCCCAGTGTATAAAAAAATTGGCCAATCACTGATGCGTAACAACGGGAATAATATATATATTATTCCCGTTGTTACGCATCAGTGATTGGCCAATTTTTTTATACACTGGGAGAAATATATTATTCCCGTTGTTAGGCGTTGTTCATTATAATACGAAAAAAAACAATAGGAGTAGATAAAATTACATTATTTTAAACTTTTTAGTGCGTTTAAGCTTGTTTTTAGTTTCTTAAACTAAAATTTATTTATTTGTTATTTGCTGCAATTTAACATTTGACGTTAACGCAGATTTCCCTATTGTTTTATAGATGGCTTTCTATAAATATTTGATTTAAATCATTTAAAGATAATAAAAAGTATTTGCCGTAGAAAAAGTATAGTATGCACCTCGTTTATAAACTTTTCTAGACACTCATTAGTTTAAGCACTCGCTCGCAAATCTTGTCTGAAATGGCGTTTAACAAGCTTGATACATAATATACTATTAATCACCTATGGGGGTATACTTATTTAGTTATATAAATTATTGTTAAAAATTAAGTAGCAATATCTTATAATTATTAGAATAAATATAAATAATAAACCTATACACTTACTTATTATACTTAAAACCGCAAAAATTAAACTAGTTAATAACAACCGCATTTTATTTTAATGTTTTCTTTTTGCTAATCTAACGAAGACTACTAAAAAATAAATATAATCTTAACATCTTAACAGGGTACAATATGATATCCAGTAGTGGGATCAAGTTGCCAAATAATTTATACATATTGGGGACAAAATAATAATATTAATTTTAAATTATTACAAGATTTGTAAACTTTTAAAATTTACGTATTCTATTAAAATATATTACACATATTGAAGGAGAACCACGCTTTTAAGTATGTTTTAATAGGTTTGGCAACATTTTATTTATTAATGTAGGTACCTACATAATTAAAAATATAATTTAAATTTTATTTTTTTAGAGTATTGTTTTCATAAGGTTCACTAACTAAAAATATTAAATATTTTTTTGTAGTCCCACCTTTAAAACACATTGATGTGGTTTAATGGCGTTTTAGTCATGGGCTGAAGTTAGCTTTAAGTTAGTTGACAGCTTTGCGCAAAAGCATTATCGTAACCAGTGAGGTCTATCCGAGGTGCGATTATTGCTAGTAGATCACAGTGAAAATGAAATTATTTGTGTTTTTACGTTTGGTTAAAGTGTTGTACCCCCCTCCCCGTGGGCTACTAGCGGGCAACAAAATCTTAAGCCACAAAGCCGTTCGGCTAAGAGGTACAAAGGGGGTTGGGTGCCCCATGAGATCGATAAAATCAGAAGTCTCTGCGTACAGCTCCATTTTACCCGCCTTCCAGTGTTTCCTGCTGGGGATTTTCCATTAGGTTTTAGAATCATCTCCGACTTAAACGGTGGTCTGGCTTCACCTCCCGCAACCTGCCTTTCCCTTAAAAGTCCAGCTGATCTGGTTGGCTGAAGGCAAGCCAGGGGGGACGTTTACCTCGTTGGTGGCACCGACCTATAGACTGAAATGAGCGATTTTTCCAAATACCCCAGACTCCAAAATGACCCCCCTGATGACTCAAACGAGTCTAACAACACATCAAATGAATGCGTTGTCGAAGGAGCCCCTGAATGCCAAGGAGTCCACTACCTAAATTCTGGCTCACTAAAGAAAGCTAAAAAGGAAGATGCTGTAAAGAAATTTTAAGAAATTTTTAGACAGCTAAATACTGTCATTAACAACTTAATAAAAGCCCAAAAAGCCGCTAACAACATGCTAAATTCTATAAACTCGATTATGATCAAAATTACGATCAGCAACGCTGGATCGGCCGAATCATCACCAAAACCGTCAAATAGTTATGCTGTGGCAGCCAGTATGAACGTAGTAAAAGTAGCAAGGTTAAAGAAACCGGTACAAGCTCCAATTACCTACAGAATTAAGTTAAAAGAACTAAATGAGGAAGCTGACACTACCAGTGCAGACTTACAAAAGAAAGCACTTGAAGAGCTTAACCCCGGCAAAATCGGTTTTAAACTGAGCAGAGTCTTTATGGGGAAGGACAAAAGTGTAATCATAGAATCGCACTCTAAAGAAACTTACTGCAAAAGAGGTCAACGATTTAAACCTTAAAGCATCAGTCCTTGAGAAACTAAAGCCTAGGCTTACGATTTTTAATGTCCCTAAAGAACTAACAAAAGAGCAAAACTTTGAAGGGAGAGACAGTTTAAGTTTGGAACCTGTTTTCAAGTTTGGTCCTAAGGACAAACATTTCAATCACTGGGGAGTAAAAGTGGACGCAGTTACAAGAAAGCAGATTCTTGACAAGGGAAATCTTTAATTAGAATGGCATGCAGGGTAGAGTACCGGATACAGCTTACCAAATGTAACACCAACACCAACATTAGAAAGGCCGCCGGATCAGATAGTATTCCGGGTCTAGTGAAAACTATAGTCTCAGACTTTGTATGCAGAATTTATAATGACTGTTTGCTGCACTCTTACTTTCCTGTAGCCTGGAAGATTGGCAATTTATTAGGGAACAAATGTTTGTGGCCAAGGAGGAAAGTGAATTCCACTCTTTTAGGCAATTCGGTTTCCGAAGGACTGAGCACCGCAGATGCTATAGAAACTGCAATCAGCCACATAGACAAGCAAGCAAGATATTCCACTATAGTGTGATATATCACACTACTAGACATAAAGGAAGCATTAAACAGTGTATACACCATATATGGTGGCCCGCCATACTAAATATCCTTAAGACCAAAAACTAAGTACTTATTTAACATAATTGCCGATTATCTTGACAACAGGGAGGTAGAATATACGCTGGGCCCTGTTAAAATAAGGAAAAAACTTTAAAGGGGATGCCCTCAGGGCTCCAAGCTCGGGCCAAATTTGTGGAATTTCGCGATAAATGAAGTACTGGATGAGCTTGATCGAATGATATTGGCATTATAACTTCCTCAAATAGCAGACCCCAACTAGAAATCCAGATGAATAACGCATTGGAGATCATGAAAATAAACTAAAATTTTCGGCTGAAAAATCTAAATAGGTATATTGCCTTTGAAAAGAAGTTTACATGAAACCCAACAGTCAGACTGGGTGAAAGCAGAGTGGCAAGAGTACACGCAGAAAAAAACCTTGGCTTACTTATAGACGAAAAACTCACGTTTCAGGCACATTTTAAATATGTCTGCGATAAGGGCAAAGCGACTTTCCAAGTAATAAGAAGATCTATAAATAGAAGCTACACGATACCAGCCAAGTCTCTTAGAACTGTCTTTTATGGCGCTATAATGCCCATTATTAAATATACCTGCAGAATTTTTGAAGGCAAGCTTTTCTATGAGAGAACAAGTGTTAAATTCGATTCTTTGAGAGGAACAATCTTGAGAGTAGTAGCGAGAACATACTCTTCGACATCTACAAATGCGGCAGCCATGCTGGCTTATATACCACCCATAGAGGACCTAATTTTTGAAAGAATAGCAAAGTATAACCATAACAAAGGAATTAGCCTTGAGTTTGGCAACAGGGAGCTGCCTGCTGGGCCACGTCTAACAAAGAGAGAAATGAACCAAATACGCACGGTGCTAATTACCTATAGATTCTTGCCCAATGTAAACGAAAGATAGGACTTAAATCTGATGGCCAGTTCCGGACCCATTACCTTAGACTGGGGAAGGTGGAAGACGGAAACTGCCCTCGGTTCCACACACCCGACGATTCCATACATAGGATTTACGACTGTCCAGAATTCAGAAATAACAGGGAAAATATGGCACAAAGAATTCCAAACTGGCCCATCCCTCCGGATGCGCTTTTGAGGCTGATAGTGGAGGAGGAAAGGATCGACCAGCTCGCCCTTTTCACCATCGATAGACTTATAGACTTTTGATAGAGTAGTGCATATACCAAGTCATATAACACACCCGATTTAGACTTCATACCCGATTAGTTACACACAAACTGCTTAGTGTTAATCTTAGTTTAGTTTTAGTTTTAGTCTTAGTTTAGTACTGTAATGGTTCAGTATTTTAATACGTTTTACAAATTTATTTTTAAATAAGTTTGGAATTTCTAAATTGTGTTGTAAAATGTAAAAAGCATTGCAAAGGAGGTAAAAAAACGGACGTTTAGGTAAAGAAATTACAAAGTTTCGTGGAAGACCGAAATTTTGCCTGCAATGGGAAAAAAATCTGTTGGCCAGATGATGCGAAAACAACATCAAAACTGGGAGAGGGAAGCAAAGAAAGAGGCAGAAAGTTTTCCGAAGTGTTGGGGAACGCATCGTTTTCGTAAATCTTTGCTAAAACCACAATTATTGTAAAATTCTGTGTAAACAATTTTTACAAGTGTTTGTGTATTCTCCCAGGTTAGTTCTAAATTTTAGTAGCCCAATTCTGTAGTAAAGTCCACTAAACGTAGAACGATTTTGATTTAAATAAACTGAGCATTAGTTATTTTGCACTACTACGTTTAGTGAATTTTACTTGATATTAACACCTTTTGTTTTAGCTATTTTTATAGAATGTTTTTACCTTTTAAGTTTACTGCTAACTGTAAAAATTTATATTCCTTTCTTTTATTGTCTTAGGCTTAATTTAGTTGTATACTACTCAAATGTTTAGACCCTCCCTCAACACGATTATGCATTTTTTTGCGGTTATTTTAAAACAAATATCAGTGTAATACAGGACGTTTCGTTGCTTAAAAAGGAGTATTGACCGTTAATTTTAAACTTTGAATGCTCCTTTTTCTTTAGTACGTAGTTTGCAGTAGATACTACCTAGGTTCTCTAGGTGGTATCGCAACTTTTATCCCGAAACTGCATCTTTACGCGAGTTGTTTCCAGTGCGGACCTCGTTCTCCACAGGGCAACGTTAACGTTGACAGACTAACAGTTAACTGCCCTGTTAAACTAACAAAGTTTTTCTTATTTTTTTGAACCCGTAGGGGTAGATAGTGTAACGAGCGTCGTGTCATTTCATTGATTTGCCTAAACTTTTAAAGAAACAATGCCTAATCGTGTAATCCTTTGCTACTTCATAGCCGAACAGGGTTTTTTCTCAAGCTCTTTTTCCCTGGTCGTATCTCCCTTGTTTTTTTTAACTGTTTGTAAAGCAAATTAAATTGGGGTAAACAAAACACTGTATTTTATTTTTTTGTATACCTAATTTTCCCAAGTATGATTCTTAAAGCAATGTATTTAATAAAACAAGTAACAAGTAACCACAACGTAGAACTCCAAATTTTGATAAGACGATCACTAGCCATAGTCACAAAATAGTTCATTTATTAATTTTTTATAAAACTTGTTTTAACGAACCTGGTGTAAGGAGAAATCTTTACATTTTTAATCCATAGATCTAGAATTATTTTTAAGTTTCAGAATAACTTTTAGTTTTGTATGTAGTTAGGTGGTTTGGTATTAGTATTTAGATATAGTGTTTAAACAACCTTGGGCAAAATTCAAACCACTTTAGGATTAAGCATCCACACTGAAAAAAGTCTATGTGTTCTTACACAATTTCTTCTGTATTTATTAAAGAACTGTTTCTGTAAATTAATATTTACGTTAAATACAAAGTGGATTTACACAATATTCCGGAAATATACAGAGTTCAATGTATTTGTACAATATATCCTTTATATTTACAGAGTGCAGTTTAACTACTCATAAAAATTATTGTAATTTTACAAAGTAATATGTGACAACACAAGCATTCTGTGATTTTAGAGCTTGTTCTGTAACTTTACAGAATCCAAGTAATAAACTGACCAATCAGAGAACTGATGTGGTCACGCGATGTACATGGCGTCGCTTTATCCAGTATTCAGTGTCTTGTTATCGTTTATCTGCGTTTGTGTGAAAAGTATAGGTAAGTCAATAGTATTGACTCAATACCTTAAATTATGCACCTATATGTACTTAATATTTTTTATTAAAAAATAGTACAAGCTTTTATAGTAGGTACAATTGCAGATACCCGTTTTTTTTAACTAACCATATAAATTTGGTAAATCGTTGATTAGTGCTTACAATCTCAAAACTTATTGACAGCAAACCACAGAAACAATTACCCAGAAAATATTGCTCCTGAGCCTAGCATTTTTTAAATTTTTTGTTGTGTTTTAGGCTAAAACTTTTAGCTAATTTCCTAACGATTTCACCGTCAAGCCGTTTTTTACTTTGTTAGGAGGTGCATCGTTTACGTTTCCGTCGACCCACAATACATATGTTTACCTATAGACCTAAAGTACCTGTACTTTTTAGGGTAATTATTATTAAAATAATGATAATAATATGATATGATGACATAAATAATACATGTTACTTGTTACATTTTCTAAATAAAAAATGTAAATGTTTTCTTTTTAAGTTTTACTTACCTGCCAACCTTTTTTATTTATTTTGTTAATAATAATATCAGCAAATATAAAGTTTTATTTAGAACCTCAGAACTGGACGTTGTAGTTAACGCCAAACTTTGTTTATTTTTATTTAGGTAAAGCAGTTTACAACCTTAAAATTACTGGTAGTACCTACTTTTTAAGAGTTTGAACTCTTGAAAAGTATATAATTAAAAACTATACTGATTTACATATTTTTTAATCAGTTGTACTCTTAAAAGGTACTAGCAGTAATTTTAAGGTTGTAAGCTGCTTCTCATATATAAAAATAAACAAACTTTAAATTTACTAATTTAATATCGTAATTTTACATAAAATCTGTAGACAGACCTAAAGTAAAATCACAGTAAGTATGTTGTAATATTACAGTAATGTTTATGTATCTATTTTACATAAGACCTGTAAAATTACAGAACATCAGTAGTTTTACGTTATGCACCTATTACAGAAATTCTGTGATTTTACTTAACATATGTAATCCTTACAAAGCTACTGTAATTTTACTGTACAAATTGCAGGCAACAAATAACCCACATTTTGTTCAGTAAATTTACAGAAATCCTTTTTTCAGTGCAGGCACAAAATAGGGTTTTAGGTACCTCTATCAATTTCACTGTTAAATTGAATAAGTATGCAAGGAGGCTTCACCTCCACGACCTTGTAGTGGTTGGCCCACATAGCCCCTAAGGCATAAGTACAGGAATAAAACAATATGGTACCTAAAATTCAATAAATAGAAAACAAAGAGAAAACAACAAAGCAGAGGAAAAAAAAGATTAGCAAAGAAATAAAAAGTTATGTCAGAGAGGCATCATTGGTAGCCTTCAGCTACCAAGAATGGAACGTGGGTATATTGCAAATATATGGGACAATCCACGTTACTTTTACCCCCACCTGTCCAAAAATTGAAGCCACCTAAAAATATGCCGGTTTGTATTCGAAAGTGTATGTCCTAAAGAAGATTTTAAGGCGTTAGTCATATTTTTAGGTGGCTTCAATTTTTAGACAGGTGGGGGGTAAAAGTGACGTGTATCGTCCCATATATACATGGGAATTTTAGAAGAATGCACGAAACTGGTTTTTAATATAAAGTTATTTAATAAAATACGTAGTCAGATAAATCCGCACAGAACACGAATTAATAATAATCGACCTTACTAACTATTAGGCATAAAAAAGGAAACCAACGATCCGCGACCTGCTAGGCCAACAATAGCCAATCAAAAATCAATTCAGAGATTCAACTTATCTCGCGACAA